GGTTAAGTTGGTAATTTAGGTAGCCGAAACGAGCAAGGTATACTTTGAGATGATAGAGGCCTTGCACTTTGCTACCTTTGTTGCAACCTTTAAGTTGTTTGATGGAATCACCAATATTTCTCATGGTCTGAGAGAAGAATAAAAGGAAGAATAAGATCAATAAAAAGGGTAAAAAGGTTATTTTGAACGACATTAGCGAATATTTTTTGTGTTCCGGTTAATGTTGCATGTTATCGGGACTATTTATAGCCGTGGTGATGTGGAAAATTTAGTCCGACTTAAATGTCCTTTTTAATTTGAAGTTATTATAAATGTACGTTTTTAATAATTGTTATATTTTGAATATGAATTTTAATTGTATAATGTTATATTTTTTTTAGTCAAATTACATGAAAAAAAAACAACATATTTTGATTTAACTCTTATTTTTATGTAACGTATGCAAAAAGAAATTATTTCAATACCTCAGAACTGACATTTCAAACATYTAGCGTTAAATATGAGAACGAACGACATGTAATGTACTTTTGGTCTGATTCTTATTTTGAGGTATCATATGTTAGTCTATATGTCTGAGATATCATATCTGAGATACCAAAATAAAAGTTTAAAAGTACATTATACCAAAAAGAAATCAGATCAAAGTAATTTTTTGTTTTCATTCAATTTTCCCTTTCATATTTAGACATCGTATTTATAGGTTTTGTGTTTGATGTTGAGATTTAAATCTAATTTTATATGAATATATTTTTGTTGATGATTACCGAAGTTGTATTTTAAGAGGTGTACGTAAAGAAAACTATGTCTAAAATGCATCATTTATCGTATATTTAATCCTAAAAGTTGGTACAAGGGGCTACCGCATTTCTTCAGTACTTGTGATTGCCGTATTTTCTGACTCATCCCTGTAATTAATCACTCGTTGATACGTAGGAGATCATATTACCGCAATTCAAGACGTACTTATGTTTATTTACACCTAACAATCTCGTTACTGTTGATGTTTGATAAACGAGACTTGACATAATTCTATGTACTAATATTTTCACTACTTGTATTTGAAAACGTATCGTGTATATTCTTAAAAATATCAAAAAGTCAAGTGCATGAAAATTTTGAAGTTTTCTCCAAAAGTGTGTGGCGAAAGTTCTTTTATAAGTAATACCTTGACAAAAAACGGAGGCAAGTAACAGTATGTGTCTATGTCAATATTTTTGGGCTACGTGTGACGAACTAGTTCTTAGCTAATAAACTAATTGATAGGTTATAAGCTGAGGGGTGTCAATTTTTTATCAAGACAAACCAACCAATTCTCGTACCAACTTTACCAATTTCGTTGGTACCAATCTAATTGGTTGATAGTACCGTACCAACTGTCGAAACTTGATCGGTGCATGGTATTAGAAGTCTGTGTACTACAGTAATACCGTATTGAACATTACCAACTTATTTTTTTAATTTTTTATTAATTAAAGTTTAATCAATAAATAACATATTTTGATATCGTATTTTCATATTCGCTAAATTATACTATAGATAGATATATAAAACTTGATTGAATTCATTCGCTTAGTAACTCGTCCACACTTACATAATGTATCGCCTCTTGTATTAGACTACTAGTAATGTTTGTATCGTATCAATGTTGTTTGAATGTTCGAGGGTTTTAGTGCATCTAGATTTAATTGGTAAATACGTTAATATAAATAAATATTGTACTAACATATACCAAACGAAAAGAAATTGGTATCAAGTATAGTTGGTTGGTACATGATATACAATTTTATGTACCAATCATATGTGATATTAATTCTTATGAATCATATGTGATTTTGACAAAAAAATTATACTTTTTTAAAATATTACTTTAAATAAAAANCTAAACAAGTGGGTAAACACTCCTATTTATACAAGGAGTTGAGCACAAAACAACAAAATCATTATCCAATGGTTAATACCCAAAATTTAGTACAAAAAGGGATCCTAAGCTAAGTATTATCCATTGGTCCAAAAMTTTCCAGATTTCTAAAATCTTCCAGCTGGCATCTGGGTGTCCTCCATTCAGCATCCAAAAATCAGCAGCTTAATCGTTAAGCCCTTGCCCAACCGTATGTGCATCAGATGGGTGCTGCTGCAGTGCTGTAGCATTAGGCTGTTTTAAAACAAATTATCCGTTAGCTTATATTTTCATGCCCCAACAAGTTAAACCACAATATTTTAGCTCCATAACAAAATAAAAGAGAAATAAATTAAAATGACTCAAAGTGGGAATGAAAGATAACTAATTTAAGCTAAAAAGATGTAAAACRGATGCATTATGTGTTGAATTCTCAACACCTATCACATATTTATATTTTTTTTACCCTCAACAATGTCGTTAATTTTGATGACTGTGAAATCAGAATTATCGAACCCAATATATTCTACTTAACTGCTTTATTTACTGTTTGTGATTTTTATTTTAAACCAACACCGAAAACTCCCATTTAAAAGAAAGTTGGAACCAACCACCGTGAGCAAAATAAATTTTGTAGACGAGTACAGACTTTTCTTTCCCCCCACATGGAATTTTCATGTTTGAACCAAAATCGTCAAGATTTTGTAAGTGTTTGTTTCACAGCTTGTGAAGTAAGTCAAAAGAATGGTACGTTAGCAGGTCCCACCATAATCATATTCAATTCAGAAAAACTTATTTCACAAATTGCAAATCAACACTTGCAAAAAAATAAGATACCGAATTATAAACAGATATAACATTATTAAAAAATATGATACCGAATTATAAAAAAATACATCTTATCTCAATAACTTAAAAAAAACATTAAGCAAATTGGAAAAAAGGTTCAAGAAATACGCTAACAATAGTTGGTCGAACTAATATTGAGCAAGTCGAATGACGATGTGGAATTTTGATTTGATTTTTTTGGCAGAATTCAAAATTTTGTCAATTAAGAAATGAAAACTAAAAAGATAAAGTCTTGGACAAACTTATTTTAATTATGCAATAAAGTTGGGCCTATAACATGAAAACTAAATAAAATTAATATATGTATATTTTTTTGGGGGTCGATTCGGTCCAGACCGATTAAAAAGATGTTCAAACTGTAGATCAGACCGGATCAAGTGGTTTGATTATTTTCAAACCAGACCGGACCGTCAGACTGCCCGGTTTGAACGGTCCAACGGTTTTT